CGCCATAAAAATTACTAAACAACTTTACAAATTCTTTTAACATTTCATTAGCGACATTAGATTCTATTGACAAGACTTCTCACAAGAGAGAAGCGAATACCACATGCAACAAAAGAAAATGGTAATACAAGTTATTCGGTATGCAGTCTTTCAAAACAAACAACCCCGAGTACAATAAAAATTGCCGGTATTCTGTCGACTTCCAGTTGCTATTTCATTTAGATCTCGACTGAGTCTGGAAAATTCAGAGGGAACGAACTTATTCAGAAACAATATTTTTTCATTCATCTTTGTTACGTTCCCTCTTTTAATAAGCAACTGGAGTAGTTTTTTAGTTACTCCTAAGTCAACTAAATGCATGGGTTCTAACGGAAATGGAGAAACCATGCCAATATTTACAGATTCTAGCAAGATTTCACACTGTCTAAATTCGTCTAAATGATGTGTTATATCTACTCTATTTTTAAACAAACTATCTGTTCTTAATTCCCAACGTTTTGAGAAAAACAGACCCTTCTTTGTAAATACTGTCCTTGTTGAAGACATTTAGGGCAGCTGTTTTTCCCAGTGTGTGACTTCACGCCAGTTATAAAGGCGCGAGCTGGTGTGCACATGTAAAAAGTCTTACACTAAATTCTTTTAAAACCTGCTTAGATCCCACCCTTACACCATTCTGACTTAGAATTTTTATCTCTTCGCAAAACTCAGCAAGGAAATTATTAACATGGGATGGCTTACTCATTCCTGAGAAGCAGGCAATAGTAAATGTGACCGAATTAGGAAAAGCTTCTACATGCCCCAAAATGGGCCACAATGCCCTATTAGAGCTTTTAAATAATTTCAAACCATCTATACCGACATCTATTGAAATTCTTTCCTATTTTCTAAAAAATCAAAATCTTTGAAATTAAAATTATATTGTATTCCTAAATACAAAAATTCACCTTCAGGAAAAGGTCGAATTTGAACTATTTTTCTACTTGTACCCAAAATGGTTCTTGCAGTTAAAGGTAACCCGTTAAGTCCAGCATTATGTAAGGTTTGTAGGAGGTCCGTTAGGCTATTTTGCGAAATATTATTTTTGATTGCCCACGTTTTTAACCCCCTACAAATTTCCTCGCTTAGGTTTTTGTTTGCAGATTCTTCTGTGCTATCTCGTCATCATCGCTATTATATTCATCGGTATCTAATTCAGGAAACACTTCCATAGTGCTGGACGTTAGACCACTATTTATTCCGCGGCAAAATGCTTCTCTACTCGTGGATGGAATATCATCGCTTTCTACAGAAGTCGGTTCATTCAGTTTGCGAACTTCGCAACTGTTGCTTTATAATAAGCTTTTTCCTTACTTAAAGGTTAGAAAATGGTAAAGGTACGATCTAATAATAATTCTATTAATAAGATAATAATAGCAATTAAAGTAGTAATAAAATAATATATTATAATACTATTATTATAATATTATTATTATATTAGATATATAATAATAAAATTAATAACAGATAAAATTTATATATATATCTAATCTCCGCTGAGCTTCTACTGTCTGTATTCCACGACCTGCAAAGAAAATATAAAAAAAAATTTGATAAAAAATAATATATAATAAAAAAATCGCAACAAAACCAAAAAAACACTTCATTGAAACGTCTTTATTATGGCCATAGGCAATATCCACATATCGTCGTTTAAAGTTTTAAGTATGGTTATCTAATCCAATTTTTGGCA